TGTGTATATCATCTGATTGAATATATATTTTCTGTTGCAGAATTTATTTCTCTATGGTTATGGTGCCATATTCAATTTTCTTGGAATACTGGGAACTGTTATATATAAAGGTATGTACAATCTATTTAAAAGTCGCGTATGGAAGAACATAATATGTCTTAAGCACCATACTAGCTTTTGAAATTAGATAATCCATTAAACTTCAATGATGTATTACTGATAAGTTTATCATTGTATTGATAGGTCCTGGCAGCTTTGACATCCTACAAGGACATTCTAGGGCTACCATGTTTCTGATACTGAACAACGCAGCACAAGGGATTCTATCTTCATTTTTCTTCAAATATGCAGGTAAAAATACACAATGTTTTTGTTTGATTCATTTGATTTACATGAATTAGTTTGCTCGAGTCTAGATGCTTTTCTAACATATATGGAGATTGTGGATTTTGGTACGTATTCTCGAGTATTTTTCTTATAACAAGATGGCCATCATTGAATTGTCTTCATCTTTTATGTGTTCTCAGATACAATCTTGAAGAAATATTCATCCACAGTTGCCACAATATTCACCGGCATAGCATCTGCAGCACTCTTTGGACATGTTATAACCATGAACTTTCTTCTTGGAATTTCTATCGTTTTCATTTCAATGCACCAGGTAAACCCATATGAATCCTTTCCTTGGTGAATCAATTTAACTTGAAAAAATCTTTTTCTGTCGATTTTATAAATTTGTTTTCATATATGCATAGTTCTTTTCACCACTTGCCAAAGTGAAAGATGAGCAACAACAGAATGGCAACGTAGAATTAGGCAATGCAAAGGATATTGCCAGGTTAGTGTCAATATACATACTTCTTTATCATTTACCATGTCTATCAAATCTTCTTTGGACATTTTTAATAAGCGGAAAGTCATGTAACAGATGCATGTGCAGTATTAACACCATTTAACTTATTTTCCTGCTCTGTTATCCCTTCAGGGCTAGTGACTCATTCATCAACATGGCCGCAGGAGCAAATGAAGAGGTGGAGAATAAAATTTGTGAAGCCAATTCTTGTACTTGTCCCAACTTAACTCGACATTAATGTTTATTGTTTTTTGTCTCTGTGTCTGTCCAGGCTAGTCACCGTGGTGAATCAGATGACAGAACGCCGCTTCTTCCCAGATGAAACGTTTTAAAAAAAACAGGTAATAATTTCTCTCCCAACTTCCGCCATTTTACTGTTAAAGCTCTCAAAGATGATCATCTAGATAGATCCTTACCAAATTAACCTCTAGAACCGAGGTTGCATAAAATGCGGATTACTAGAGTAGTAGCTGAATGTTATTACTTATTAATAATATGGAGAATCATCTGCTTTCGCACTTGTGGCTGCAGGATTTTTGTTCCGAAGAATTCTTTTGGCCGAAAAAATTCTAGAAATTGGGGGTTTTCCAAGTCGCATACAGTGAAGCAAAACTTGATGAGACCAATACTCTTAATTCTCTCAAGAGTCGGTTTAAGTTCGTTGAAGAACCTCTCATGTCTAAAGCTGTATTGTTTTAAGATAGAGTGAACAAACTTGGTAAGTGATATATGCATGTTGGAGATATCATATTGTATTCTTTGGTCACTTTTTTGCACTTGTTTCTCTTCTTGTTATACAGTTACAGTTACTCTCAGGGTTTGTTTATTATTATATATATAAAGCATCTTTTTCAGCCAGTGGGTTTAAATTAAACCGGCCCGGTTCAAGAAGCATCTCTTAATCCAGTGTTTTGAATTAGTCATTGCCCTGAATATGATCAATAACATTGCAAGACCTGTGTGGTGAAGATTATATAAAAGGAGAAGAAAGAAACACAAACCAAACATAGAATTCTTTTACAAGAATCGACCGACTCCACCAAACAATTGCCAAGGCACCAAATCCCTACTCCCCACCTTAATAAACATATATAAGAAGAAGAAGAAGGAAATAGCCTCAACAAAAAGAGACTCTGAAGAACATATTTATATGAAATGGCAACACATGAAACAGAAACCAAACTCCCATTATTACACAGAGGAATCAAGTTTCCTGGGAAGGAACAGCTGCTGCTGGTGATGACCTCAATAATGGTTGAAGAGCTTTTACCACAATGCTCATGTTCGGCCTAAACTCTGATTCGTATTGCACACACAACGCTGCAACAGCCGCGAGCTGAAATACAAGAGCATGACAAAAAGGATTAGCTTCAAAGTAGTTTCACAGGTTAGAGATAAAATGGACCAATAGGTGAAGCTTTTACCTTTGCAACAGCTTTAGGAGGATATTCTCCTTTGAGTTTTGGATCAACACATTGCTTCACTTTGTCTTCACTCAGCCTTGGAGTGGCCTGCAGTTAGATGACATGAACAATCAGTAAATTCAGAAGCAATATTATCCCAGGAGATTAAGAAAAAGAGAGGGTCTTAGTGCTTACCCAAGTGACAAGACTTTGTTGACCACGAGGCATCGTGTGATCAACGGGTTTTCTACCAGTCAAGAGCTCCAAAAGCACTACACCAAAACTATAAACATCACTCTTCTGTGTCAGTTGACCAGTCATCGCATACCTGCAACAGTAAAAACGTGAAGTTAACAATCTTTACTTCCTCAAGAATAGTGTGATCAATTGTTGTTTCAGAAGCATTGATTACTCTGGTGCGTGGTAACCGAAGGTTCCCAAAACTCTGGTGGAATGAAGACGAGCAGCCATATCAGGAGATTGATTCGATAGATTAAAATCAGCGATCTTGGCTTTAAAGTCGTCGAAGAGAAGCACATTGCTAGATCGAATATCCCTGTGTATCACCGCAGGTTGAATTTTCTCGTGTAAATATTCAAGTCCACGAGCTGCATCAACTGCGATTCTGACACGTTGGATCCAATCAAGCGTTGGACCTGGTTGTGCTCCTTGGACTCCTTTTCTCCCGTGTAAAATGTCATGTAAAGATCCCATCGTGGCAAACTCATACGCAAGAATACGGAAATTCCCTTCCACACAATAACCGAACAGCTGAACAAAATTATCATGCTTCAACTTCGAAACCCTCGAGACCTGAGTCAAGAACTCAACATTTGATTCAGGTTCAGCTGAAGTATCAAGCTTCTTCACCGCCACAGCCGTCCCATCTTTCAAGGTTGCATAGTAGGCTCTTCCGTAAGATCCTTCACCGATCAATACCTTTGACCCAAAATTATCGGTCTTTTCTTTCAGCTCAGCCAATGACAATGCAGGCACATCAATAGATGGAATCTCCTTTAAAGCATCAGGCCTCAAAGCAACTGGTGGTTTCTTATTCTGATAACCTTCAACACAAAAAGAAAACAAGTACCTGAGTTTGCATATAGAATATAAGATCAATCACTAGCAAGAACGATCGATCAACTTATGGTCAAGAAATCACAACTAGATTGCGTAGTAGTACCATAATCATTATGGTGTTTGGGGCTCAAGTGTTCAGTTTCAGAAGAATGGTAAGGTTCTTCAATGTGGCAAGCACAACACAACCACCTACGCATCTTTTCTCTCTTGCCTATATAAAGATCGTCTACAGCTCTCGGTTTATCCAGCCGAACAAAGTAGCCTGGTGAATCGCTCGCCTGCAATG